CATCAGCAATCATCTGTTTCTCTGCATCCGCACTACATCCACGCACATTTAAGCATCCCATTTTATAAATTTTTCTTCTTCTCTTTTTTAGTAAATGTATACAGGAGAAAGGGGTTACTAGCCCATTGCTCCCGGCATTTTAGTCGCCTCATACGACACGCATGGCTTACGGAGGAATGATTCTTTTCCACTTCCCCATGGACAATAGAAGAAATAAAAAAGAACAAGAGCTATTTAGAAAAAGGAGAAAAACCTAGATGTATGTATATATATATGCATGTGCGTGTCTGTGAAGTGTGACCAAAGTGTAAGTAGGAGTAGCAAGATATCCCTGTTATCTAGCGTGTTTATGAGACAGAAAAAGAAACCAGCAATCCTACCATCATGCAAAACAGTTACAGGTTTTTGTTTCACAGTCATCTGGCAGGACGGTAGTACTTCCCTGGGTGGTTGCTGTCTACCAACCTACTACTAGATTTTTTATTATAGTCCTAAATTGAATGGCAGACAGGGGACCTTTGCTGGTTCCGGCAATGAATTCCAGATCTTTGGGACCTTTATGTGCATTACATTTTTGCATAGTGTGAGATGGACATGAGGGATGTTGAAGAGAGTTTTATGCCTAGTGTCTGTGTGTTCTGTTGTAGCTATCAAGATGTGTGAGAGGAGTGTTTATACTGGAGTTTAATGTTCTATATACGTAGCGGACACAGTAATACGAGTGCATATTTTGTATATTAAATAAGTTCAAACTCTTGAAGAGCGGAGGGGTGTGTTGTCTGGCGCAGGAATGGGTAATCATCTGCACTGTAGCTTTTTGTTGGGTTATTATTGGTTTAAGGTGATTAGTTGTAGTAGATCCCTGCACACACACTTAATGAGATAAGGGTTTAGTGGTATAGTGTAATTAGTGCCATTTGGGGTACATAGTATCATATCTTAGAAAGAGTGCCTACTGTTTGGAGACCTTGGCTATATGTTGGATGTGGGTCTGAAATTTAAGGTTGCAGTCAAGGTGAAGATCTAAAAATTTGCCCTCAGTGTGTCTTGTAATGGGAGAACCACTGATCAATATGTTAAGTTGGAGATTTGAAATTCTGTTTCCAAACAGCATGTAGTAGGGTTTGTCTATATGGGTTTGTCTATATTGAGAGCGTAATTTGTGATAGCAAACTGCTCTTTTTGTTCAGGTTAAACAACAGATACACTTCCCTCAGTACTTACTGAAAAGCACAGATATGTACTTCAACTTTTGGGAGAGCAGGTTAAATAACAGGATTTTGTATAGAATACAGAAGCCTTTATACTGTGTTTGTTACAATAACTAAATACAAATAACAAAACTATACTTCACATTGGAAAACTTACTTATTTTGATGCACTCTTTATCAAACAACAACATTTTATCACAGCATATTACATAAAATTGCTTTCTCAGTAAAGACTCAACAGTTCTTCATCAGCACAGCACCATATCCTAAAGCAAATACTACAGTGTAATTCTTATTTTAAAAGCAATCTAGAGGAAAATTGGGTTCTCTATAAAAATATACAGTACCTAACAAGTACAACACATGTAATAAAAATCATTGATCATGTAACTGTTACAGATCAAGTAACTAGTGCTACAGCTAAATATAGTATAATAAAGAAGAATGTTTATATTATATATAATATGCAGCAAATTTAAAATAAGAGAAAGAATTTATGGGCAACTAAAGCAATGAAGAGGACAAAATGACAATTCTGTTCATCATTGTTTTATATTGGTACCTCATGACCTGTGGAATGAAGTGGCATAATGAGCACCAAGTATTTGTAAAATTACATTTTACAAGTACAGAAATGAAAAGCTTGTTCAGTATATGTACTTTATATCAAACTTAATTAAAAAATTGTAAGATTATGCAGGAGAGTATATCATACAAGGTCTGCTGGGGTAGATACTCATGTATATGCAATACAGATTTAAGGGTCATGTCAAAACCTCAGATTGCAAAACAAAACTATTTTCACAAAAGCAAGACCTTTTTTATTTTGAATCTTATACATTACTTCTTGTTTTGAAGTACTTAAGATACTTTTTCTAAATACAGCCAATTCTCATATAAAGCTCCTTTAGATGATTTTTTTTTTGTAAATGTGACTTAAAAACTACATCAAAAACTGAATAGCACGTACTATGTAGGCCTCTCCAAGTGCTATTCAGTTTTCGATATACTTTTTTCTATCACATTATGAAAAACTGCACTACATAAAGGAGCTTCATATGAGAGGTGACCAACTGGTATATTGTAGATGAATGGTTCACAGAACCGACACGTTGATAAATTAGACACATGTGCAACTCTTGGGTATCTTTATTAAGGAAACATTTCACCACACAGTGGCTTCATCAGTCCATACACAGGAGAAACTTGAAGAACAGGAGGAGAATGAGGTAATCAGTCCCTCAACCTTGAGTCGATGTGGTCAGTCCATCAATCTTGAATAGAATACGGCATATGAGCGGAGAAGCAGCCTACGGTTTATGAGCTGCTTCTCCGCTCATATGCCGTATTCTATTCAAGATTGATGGACTGACCACATTGACTCAAGGTTGAGGGACTGATTACCTCATTCTCCTCCTGTTCTTCAAGTTTCTCCTGTGTATGGACTGATGAAGCCACTGTGTGGCGAAACGTTTCCTTAATAAAGATACCCAAGAGTTGCACATGTGTCTAATTTATCAACTGGTATATTACTTGTTGCCTATCAGCCAGTTTTTGCTAAAGGGTTTTGTCATTACTTGTGCCACTTGAGTTAACATTGTGCAAACCTAAATTTTCTCACTGTAACTAGCATTACAACTTTGGATGGATCATCTGGAAATATGGTAAGATTTAAAATTACCATTTAAAAATTATATGGTACATAAGCATCTTCTGGGTCCCAAAGTCTAAGGTTGTCAAAATAAAATCTTGGGCAAACTGGTTTTTGTTTTTTTGCATGTTGCATTTTTGAAACTGCAATTACTTGACAAAACTCACCAGTACTAGGTTACCATAATAAAACTGGAACAGGCAACCTAGTAATAAAGTTAAAACACAATTTTTACTCTAAATATTTACTAACACTCCATGGAAATAATGGTATTGACAAACCCAGTTGAACCAATGGGATTAATTTCAAAACCTGAGCATATTAAATCTACAGGAAAAACAAAGTTCTATAAAAAATATGTGACTAAAACTTAAAATTATTCAGCTCTAGGCTTAGCAAGCCTCAGGGTTTTGCCTCTCCTCAGTTAAGTGATGCCAGGAATGTTAGCTTACCTAGACTTGCTGCCTGGGCATAAAGTATAGTGCTTGTACTCTGAAGGGTGGGGATATTGCAGTTTAGAGGTGCATCTGAGCTGTAATGCTTGTGCACCTCTGACAAGACAGTGATAGAGCGAACAATGGTAAAAGTTTTTTTTTTTCAGGTCACACTGCCTTGGTGGGAGACAGCTGGTGTTAAATTTTTTTGAAATCAGGACCAGCAGAGTAGTGCTGAAAATACAAAGGGGCAGCTATTAGGTGGGTTTGTCTGTGAGCAATATATTTTCCATTTCTCAACACAAAGGTACCCAGTGTATCACAGTGAAGAAAAAATCAAAGGTTACAAGCCCAAAGTCAAGACATGTAAACATACCACATGAAGACTTTCTTCAGTTTAGGATTTCAAATTGGTCATCAAGTATCAAAAAATTTACTTGTACTTGCATTCAGTAGACACTATGCAAGTCCATTTATGGTACTTTAAGTGTTTCTAATATTTAACCCTTTCACGGCCCAAACCCCTGAAATTAGAAATGCTCATTGTCCATGTGTCCACATTAAAAAAAAATCTGAAATGGTAGAGAATCTTTCTGAAGGCAGTGACACCAAAAACACGAATTTTGATGGGAAAACTTTCAGAATTATGCAGGTGCAAAGTTAGTGTCTCAGTGTAGTTTATGTAGGTGATTTTGCCAATTTAAAAAAAGTCCTATTTTATGCCAGTTCCATTGTTCACCTCTACCAGATTCTTAGCTATTTCCCTAATGTGCCTTCTGTTTTATTGATTGAGCACAAGACACTGCTCATTCATAAATCAGAACTATGATGTAAAGTGCATATAAATGATATTTTGTCCAATTTTATGCAAAATTAAAAAAACCCAATTTCAGAAGTCTAAAACAAATACTATAGACATTCCAGACACTAAAATAACATTTCCTATGCTCATTAATCATGTCCCCAGGCCTCTTCTATATTACACTTGCCTTCTATTTTGAATTCATCACGAAAAATCAAAGATTTACCAAAATTCTTGGATGATAAAAAAAAAGAGGGTGTAAGGGGTCCTTACCCATCATTAGGAAAATCAACAAAACTCTAATATCTCAGCTACTTTGAAGCCAATTTCAAGTTACTTCTGGTCCAGTCAATCAGATTTATTTCAGTAGTATATGTCTTTCATTGTATCAAATGATGCCAAGGAACAGCCAATAAAATCATCCTAGAAAAATGCCTCATTTTCTATTTTGAACTAAACATAAGGTCAAGTGTTGCTTCCCATCATGCACCATGTGAGGGAAGATTTTTTTAATACTGTGCACACCAGAAACAGACTGGGTCTTAAAACTGACTTGGGCATCTGTCACCTATCAGGTTGGTCTGGGACTTGTCACTCTACTCCAACTGATAACAGTTGTGACTTCTAACTTTTGGGGCACTAGGAGTGGGTAGAGCCTCTACTGACAGCTTTGTGTAATCAGACCATACCACGGGTGGGATTTGAACCCATGGTCAGAGAGTCTCAAAACTGTGTAATCAGACATAGTTAATTGAAGAGAGCAGCAATTAAGTGTAGGAAGCTAGCAGCAGCACAGCTTACCTTGACTTAAGCACTGCCAGTGCAACACTGACTAACAGACTACTGAGAGCCAGAGGTGTGATTTTAAAGATCAGCTGAAGCATGTTCCATTTTCATTTCAATCTTTGTGAAACGGCTATGGCTTTGGTTTTTCATGATTTTTTTTTTCTGCCTAGCCCAGCAGCTCACCAGACATTGCTCAAATGCCCATATGGCCAGTCTGCCTCTGGTGCACACTCACCACACAATATTCCTCTTATATCTAGGCCACAATTTAACACTCACAACTTACCCAATTGAGCTGAGCTCTTGATGTAACTACTTGACAGACCTTAGTGTCAATAATGTGGTTCTACATAAGACAGTGAGTGGAAGGAATTAATTTATACTAAGATGCTTCTACACAGCAAGGACCTCATTCAAAAACAATTTACAAGAATGATGTATTTTTTATATTGTACATTTTTTAACACATTGGCTGTTTCCCACCGAGGCAGGGTGACCCAAAAAGAAAGAAAAACCCAAAAAGAAAGAAAAAAAACTTTCATCATCATTCAACACTTTCACCATCACTCATACATAATCACTGTCTTTGAGAGACACTCAGATATAACAACTTAGATGTCCCTCTAAACTGCCAATATCCCAAACCCCTCCTTTAAAGTGCAGGCATTGTACTTCCCATTTCCAGGACTCAAGTCTGGCTAACCGGTTTCCTCGAATCCCTTCACAAAATATTACCCTGCTCACACTACAACAGCTCATCAGGTCCCAAAAACCATTTGTCTCCATTCACTCCTATCTAACATGCTCACACACACTTGCTTGAAGTACAAGCCCCTTGGCCACAAAACCTCTTTTGCCCCCTCTCTTCAACCTTTTTGGGGCTGACCCCTACCCCACCTTCCTTCCCCTACAGATTTATATGCTCTCCAAGTAATTCTTCTTGATTCCATTCTCTCTAAATGACCAAACCGCCTCAACAGCCTATCTTCAGCCCTCTAACTAGTACCTTTAGCAACTCCACACCTCCTAATTTCCACACTACAAACTCCCTGCATAAAAACAATCTTCATAAAAGCTCTTTACAGCATTTAGTAACTTACTACCTATTTCATACACTTGCAACATCTGCCACATTGCTTCCCTATCCACTCTACCATATGCCTTTTCTAAATCCATAAATGCAATGAAAACTTTGCTACCTTTATCTAAATACTGTTCACATATATGCTTCAATGTAAACACCTGATCTACACATCCCCTACCCATTCTAAAGCCTCCTTGCTCATCTGCAATCCTGCTGTCTTACCTCTAATTCTTTTAATAATAACCCTACTATACACTTTACCTGGTATACTCAGTAAACTTCTCCACCTATATTTTTTCAATCTCTTTTGTCCCCCTTCCCTTTATATAAAGGAATTATACACTCTCTCTGCCAATCCCTAGGTACCTTCCCCCTCTTTCATACATTTATTAAACAAAAATACCAATCACTCCAACACTGTATCTCCCTCTGCTTTTAACATTTCTATCATGATCCTGTCAGTTACAGCTGCTTTACCCCTTTTCATTCTATGTAATGCCTCATGCACCTCCCCCACACTCACATCCTGCTCTTCTTCACTCCTATAAGATGTTATACCTCCCTAGCATGAAATTACTGCCTTCCTTTCTTCATCGACATTTAAGTTCCTCAAAATATTCTTGCCATCTACCCAATACCTCCAGCTCCCCATCTGCTAACCCCTACTGTTTTTAACTGACAAATCCATTTGTTCCCAAAGCTTTCTTAACTTGTTTACCTCACTCCAAATTTTTTTCTTATTCTCAGCAAAATTTCTTGACAGTGCCTCTCTCACTCTATCATTTGCTCTCCTTTTGCACTCTCTCAACCTTTCTTTTACTCCCCATATACTCTGTCCTCCTTATATCACTTCTGCATTGTAAAAATTTCTGATAAGCTACTTTTTTCTCTTTTATCACACCCTTTACCTCATCATTCCACCAATCACTCCTCTTTCCTCTTGTGCCTACCCTCCTATAGCCACAAACTTATTAATTTGCAATACACTACTCAAACAAAAATACTGTACCAGTAAACATTACTAAAGACAAGTCCAATAATTATATTAATAGTAATACCAATTACGGCTAAAAACTGAAGTGCATAATTTAAATACAACATAAAAAGGAAAATTTTTAAGGGAAGGAGTCTTATGAATTAAATGTGTAAAACTGGGATTCCACCAGTTATCAAAATTTGCTTGAATCATTGTCTTTCCTACTCTGAATTTTTGAAACTGTGCATTTAAGCTGCTTCTCTTTTGTATGAGCAACATTTAACTCTAGTTGCATACTATACAAAGGTTGCAAATACTGTACATATATCATGGCATTATGTCACTTCTGTCACCCACTGTATACCTTCTGCAAACTCTATCACACAGTGTTGCAGAGGTTTTTGGATTCAGTAACAAAATACATAAGGCTTGTACTTTGGAAATACCTTATTAATATTTCCTTGAACTAAGTCTTGCATTAGGCAGCATCCATGAGCTTTTAAATAGAAAAAATACACCTGCACTTAAGAATGTTTACCCTTGATTATATGCCGGTACAAAAACATATTAAAATTGTAGTTTTTAACCAGGGTAATGCCAAATTATATTCTACAGTATCCAAGGCAAATTTCATTAGTAAACCAAAGTATTTAAGCTTTAATGCTAAATAATTTTTCAAATAAAATTCTCAATACAAAATAATACTCCTGTGTACTCTGTTAGTCATGGGTAAACAAGCTTAACAGGCTTTACAGAAAGCTGCATTTTGCAAGATTCGTACTCCACTCCTATTGTGGTGTGCATGTTAAGCTCGGTTTCCTGTCTTGCCTTGCCAGTCAAGACACTTTTCCTATAACTAAACCGAGATTCAGATTCCTAATCAAAATACACCAGAGTAAGAGCCTTTTCTTTTAGATGAAGCATCAAGGTCAATATGGAATGACACTAAAGCTGCATAGTGAAAATTGTAATTATTGTATTGTTTCCATACCACTTGTTTTCCAAATTATGGGATTTACATACATGGTATAAACACAAATTCCTTTAACTGTACCCCTACTGGAGTAAGACTGGGTAACTCAACAAATACAAATTTTCACATTTCAAATTATTTGCATTTTCTAAAAACAGACTGTAAAATGTTATGCAAAATTCAACATCAGTAATATTTCCATTAGAAATAAGAAATGGAAATACTCTACATCACTAGGAATTTTGTATACGTAAAGCTGCATATACTGTTCAAAAAATGAGAACAGAATCTTTAATGTCAACTTTTAAATATTTCCCCTTCTTTAACATATTCCATTCTCTAAAGTCCCACAAAAACTAACCCACATTCTCTAATCCAAAAATTTAATGTCTTTTGATAATTTTCAATAAAGCTTCATAATTGTAATATACTGCATATATTTTGAATATCAGTGTGTTAAACATATTACTTTCGGTCCTTTCTTTAATCCCTGAAATCTTTCAATTATTTCTTTCCTCCTTTCTTTGAACTTTTTTTCTTTCCACTGCCTCCTCCACCATACTTATTTGCCAAATTGTCTAAAAACGAGTCCATCTCTTCTGCCCGTTGTTTTCCACGTTTGAGAATTAGAGCTTTTAAACTATCTGTGGTGTCACCAAGTCCCAATTCCTTTTTCATTGCTTCTGCCTCTTCTGCTTCTTCTGCTGCCTGTTAGAATATTGAAAAAAAGACATAAAACACATGAAGTTATGGTATGTTACATATATCTTCACTGGCTCATTCAAACTGCATTTTTGTGTATTCATCCTTCTAATCAGAACACATATGCACTCCTGTTAGCATTCACAATTCAAGCATGCATGTACTGTATGGCACAGCTGCCTCTAAATCAGCAGACTCGGGTTCAACTCCCAGCGAAGTCTTTTTGTAGCAGTGCGTAGTAAGTTGGTAGACAGCAACAGCCTACGGAGGTGCTACCATACTGCCAAGTGAGTGTAAAACGGAAGCCTGTATTTGTTTTACATGATGGTAGGATTACCGGTGTCTTTTTTCTGTCTCACTAACATACAAGATTTCAGACGTCTTGCTACTTCTACTTACACTTAGGTCACACTACACATGCATGTAGATGTTTATGTATACACACTCAAGAGTTTTCTTTGATTTATTTTAATAGTTCTTGTTCTTATTACTTTTCCTTTCATATACATGGGGAATTGGAATAAGAATCTTTCCTCCATAAGCCATGCATGTTGTATGAGTCAACTAAAATGCTGGGAGCAATGGGCTAGTAACCCCCTTTTCCTGTATAGCCTACTAAAAAGAAAAAGAAGAAAACCATCAAAGCGGGATGTTTGAATGTGCGTGGATGTTGTGCGAATGATAAGAGATGATTGTGGAAGCCATGAATGAAAAGAAGCAGAATGTCCTAGCTTTAAGTAAAACAAAGCTGAAAGGGGTAGGAGAGTTTCAGTGGGGAAAAATAAATGGGATTAGGTCAGGTGTTTCTAATAGTTAGAGCTAAGGAAGGAGTAGCAATAATGTTGAAGGATAAGTTATGCCAAGAAAAGAAGGAATATAAATGTATAAATTCAAGGAGTAAAATAAAGGATGGATGTGAAAAGTGGGTTATAATAAGTGTTTATGCACCTGGAGAAGAGAGAAGTATAGAGGAGAGAGATTTTGGGAAATGTTGAGTGTGTGTGTGGGAAGTTTTGAACCAAGTGACAAGAGTACTTGTGGTTGGGGATCTAAATGCTGAACTAGGTAAAAATGTTGTAGAGGGAGTAACAGGTAAATTTGGGGTGCCAGGGGAAAATGAAAATAGAAAGCCTTTAACTGAGCCATGTGTAGGAAGAGGTTTGGTAACAAGTAATACATATTTTATGAAAAAGAGGATAAATAAGTATACAAAATATGATAAAGCACATAATGAAAGTAGTTTGTCTGATTATGTACTAGTGGATAAAAGGTTGATGGGGAGGCTTCATGATGCACCTGTTTATAGAGGGGCAATAGATACATCAGATCATTATCTAGCTGTAGCTACAGTTAGAATAAGAAGTAGATGGGACAAAAGGAAAACAGCAAGAGTAAGTAAGAGAGAGGTATAAACTAAGGGAGGAAGAAGCTAGGGCGAGATATAAGCAACTATTGGCAGAAAGGTGGGCTAGTGCAAGTATGGGTAGTACGGGGAAGCTGAAGAGGGATGGGAAAGTTTTAAAAATGCAGTATTAGAATGTGGGGCAGAAGTCTATGGCTATGGGAGGGTGGGTGTAGGAGGAAAGAGGAGTGATCAGTGGAATGATGAGGTAAAGGTTGCGATACAAGAAAAAAGGTAGCTTAGGAGAGGTTTTCACAAAACAGAAGTGATATAAAAGGGTAGCATATATGGAGAGTAAAAGAAAGGTGAAGAGAGTGCAAAAGGAGAGCAAAAGATAGAGAGGCTATGTCAAGAAATTCTGCTGAGAATAAGAAAATTTTTTGGAGTGAGAAACAAGTTAAGAAAGCCTAGGGAACAAATGAATTTGTCAGTAAAAAACAGAGTAGGGGAGTTAGTAGATGGGGAGATGGAGGTAATGGGTAGATAGCAGGAATATTTTAAGGAACTTTTAAATGTTGATGAAGAAAGGGAGGAAGTAATTTCATGCATTGGCCAGGGAGGTATAACATCTTTTAGGAGTGAAGAAGAACAGGATGTGAGCGTGGGGGAGGTGCACGAGGCTACATAGAATGAAAGGGGGGTAAAGTAGCTGGAACTGACGAGTTCATGGCAGAAATGTTAAAAGCAGGGGGAGATATAGTGTTGGAGTGGTTGATATTTTGTTTAATAAATGTATGAAAGAGGGGAAGGTACCTAGTAATTGGCAGAGAGCTTGTATAATTTTTTTTTTTATTAACACATCTGCTGATTCCCACCAAGGCAGGTTGGCCCGAAAAAGAAAAACTTTCATCATCTTTCACTCCATCACTATCTTGCCAGAGGGGTGCTTTACACTACAGTTATAAAACAGCAACACTGACACCCCTCCTTCAGATTGTAGACACTGTATTTCCCATCTCCAGGACTCAAGTCCGGCTTGCCGGTTTCCCTGAATCCCTTCATAAATGTTACTTTGCTCACACTCCAACAGCACATCAAGTATTAAAAACCATTTGTCTCCATTCACTCCTATCAAATATGCTCATGCATGCTTGCTGGAAGTCCAAACCCCTCACACACAAAACCTCCTTTACCCCCTCCCTCCAACCCTTCCTAGGCCAACCCCTACCCCACCTTCCCTCCATTACAGATTTATACACTCGAAGTCATTCTGTTTTGTTCCATTCTCTCTACATGTCTGAACCACCTCAACAACCCCTCCTCAGCCCTCTGGATAATAGTTTTGGTAATCCCACACCTTCTCCTAATTTCCAAACTACGAATTCTCTGCATTATATTCACACCACGCACTGCCCTCAGACATGACATCTCCACTGCCTCCAGTCTTCTCCTTGTTGCAACATTACAGGGGAATAGGTTTACTGAGTTCTCCATGGTGAAATGGAACAGAATTCTTCCTCCGTAAGCCATACGTGTCGTAAGAGGAGACTAAAATGCCGGGAGCAGGGGCTAGTAACCCATTCTCCTGTATACATTACTAAAGTTAAAAAGAGAAACTTTTTTTTCTTTTTGGGCCACCCTGCCTCGGTGGAAAATGGCCAATTTGTTGAAAGAGAAAGAAGTTTACTGAGCATACCAGGTAAAGTGTATGGCAGGGTTATTATTGAAAGATTTAGAGGTAAGACAGAGAGCAAGATTGCAGATGAGCAAGGAGGTTTAAGAATGGGTAGGGGATATGTAGATCAGGAGTTTACATTGAAGCATTTATGTGAACAGTATTTAGATAAAGGCAGGGAAGTTTTCATTACATTTATGGATTTAGAAAATGCATATGATAGAGTGGATAGGAGAGCAATGTGGCAGATTTTGCAAGTGTATGGAATAGGTAGTAAGTTACTAAATGCTGTAAAGAGTTTTTATGAAGACAGTGAGGCTCAGGTTAGGATGTGTAGGAGAGAGGGAGATTACTTCCCAGTAAAAGCAGGCCTTAGATAGGGATGTGTGATGGGGTTGTAAAAGAAGTAAATGCTAGGGTGTTGGGGAGAGGGGTGGGATTAAATTATGGGTAATCAAATACAAAATGGGAATTGACACAGTTAGTTTTTGCTGATGATAGTGAGCTTTTGGGGGATTCTAAAGAAAAGGTGCTAAGGTTAGTAGATGAGTTTGGGAGGGTGTGTAAAGGTAGAAAGTTGAAAATTGAAAGTGAACATAGATATGAATAGGGTGATGAGGGTATCAAATGATTTAGATAAAGGAAAATTGGATATCGCATTGGAGGGAGGGAGTATGGAAGAAGTGAATATTTTCAGATATTTGGGAGTTGACTCTTCAGCGGATGGGTTTATGAAGGATGAGGCTAACCATGGAATTGATGAAGGAAAAAACGTGAGTGGTGCATCGAGGTATCTGTGGAGACAAAGAACGTTATCCATGGAGGCAAAGAAGGGGCTGTATGAGAGTATAGTGGTGCCGACACTCTTATATGGGTGTGAAGCATGGGTTGCAAATGCTGCAGCGAGGAGGCGGCTGGAGGCAGTGGAGATGTCGTGTCTAAGGGCAATGTGTGGTGTAAATGTTATACAGAGAATTCATAGTGTGGTAATTAGGAGGAGATGTGGAGTTACTGAAAGTATTGTCAGAGGGCTGAAGAGGGGTTGTTGAGGTGGTTTGGTCATTTAGAGAGAATGGAACAAATTAGAATGACTTGGAGAGCATATAAATCTGTAGGGAAAGAAAGGCGGGGTAGGGGTCGGCCCTAAAAGGTTGAAGGGAAGGATAATGGAGGTTTTGTAGGTGAGGGGCTTGGACTTCCAGCAAGAGTGCGTGAGCATGTTAAACAGGAGTGAACGGAGACAAATAGTGTTTGGGACCTGATGAGCTGTTGGAGTGTGAGCAGGGTAATATTTGGTGAAGGGATTCAAGGAAACCGGTTAGCCGGACCTGAGTCCTAGAAATGGGAAGTACAATGCCTGCACTTTAAAGGAGGGGTTTGGGATATTGGCAGTTCAGAGGAATGTCTAAGCTGTCGTATCTGAGCGCCTCTGTAAGGACAGCGATTATGTATAAGTGATGGTGAAAGTGTTGAATGATGAAAGTTTTTTCTTTCTTTTTGGGTCACCCTTCCTTGGTGGGAAACGGATGATGTGTTAAAAAAATAAAAACAACAAAACAAAATATTAAAGCAGTTTGAGTGAGAGGTTACTACAATGCCAATACTAGAACTATTATTCACTAGAAAAAAATTAAAAGAATTCTGAACACACACTATCTAAACTCATTTGCTAAGTGTGGTCATGTTCTTTTGAAATTAATATATGTTGCTGAATATGACTTAGAGAAAGAGTGGCTAGAGTACATATGTAGGATTAGTTATTAACCCTTAAACTGTCCAAACGTAGATCTACATCAACGTGCGGGGGGGCTCCAAACGTAGAGCTACGTTTTTTTACATGCTTTCAAATGCGGAAATTCAAGGTCGGAGCGCTACGCACGTGAACACAGACCTACCTTTGGACAGTTTAAGGGTTAAAGTACATGTGTAAAGTGAGTAGCAAACCACAAGCAAAATAGCTTGAGTATAGTATATATGCGAGTTTTTAGAATACATGTGTAAGGTACTAGTCATGTGTAAGGTCAATAGCTCAGAACATTTGTAGGCGTAAAAGCTGCACATATGCTACATCAGAATGATAATCTGCATTACATAGTGTAGTTATTCAGATTTACAATACTGCATATTCCGGAAATTTTAACCTGAATCCAGGGATGCTCACCTTACGTTTTCTCGTTTCTTTCTTCTTTCTGCTCTCTTTTGAAAATTTTTTAAAATCAGGAACCACCTCCTCCTTGATCCATCCCTTAATTATCTTTGTAAACCTACAAAAAAAAGGTGATAGCAAAAATAAACCAAATTATGAAATTGTTTAACCATATAGCATGAGTGACTTTTGTAGCATGAGTTTTCTTTATAATGCAAGAATTTTGAGAGAATAAATTACATCTGTTTGATCTCTTGAACACATTAAGGATCTTTTGTGATTAAAACCATGATAAGAAATTGTACTGCACAAATCAACCTGGCAGCTAGGTGAATACATATTTTATTGATATGATTTATAGCAGAACACTCTAGAGACAATAAGTGTCTGAAGAATTAAGCTTGATATGTAAACATTCACAAGCACCACATACCTTGGTTCATCATCAATGGTGCAACATAATACATTTTGCAAAATATACTCCATATCTCCTTCACCGTCTAAATAGGCCTCTTTCAGATCAGACAGTTCTTCCTCAGACTCTATTAATAATAGTGTAAAACCTTTAGTACACAAACTTTAATAAGAAACTTAAGTTCACATATTGACAAGCAATTATTTATATCAGTTAATTATATAAATATGGCAGACAAAATACTTACCCCTATATTTCGATTCAAAATTCTTGATATCCTCAACAGTTATCTTCCTGAACAACAAACGCCAATATTGATCCCAATCACGATCATCAGGAGAAACATTTTCATCGTCAACTTCACCTGTAGTATAAAAAACGTATGCTACCTACACAATGATATAGTAACAAACTAATCTCAAATTTAGTAAATAAAAATATAATACCTAATTAATGACATTTCATAACTAGCATCTGCTGAACATATACAGTAAATAGCACTGATTATCCTAAATCTTGTATGGTATTATATGCTAAAACCTAAGAAAACCATCATTACATAGAAGAGATTTCCTGTACAAATCAGTAAAATTTTAAAATAAAGAATTGGAAAATACCTCATTTGAAGTGCTACATCTATAGGGGTCATTAGGCATAAGTGGTAGAGGCTCGATCCTCCATCAGCTAATAATTGTCAGAGATACTACCCAACTGAAATTACCAATTTTCCCATAAGAAAAGTTGCAAAAGCCTCCCCCCAAAAAAATAAAAACTCAAAATTCAATCAAGCAGCATAGTCAACACCATGATAAAATGTCTTAAAGTAGTCAGATAAAAGATAAAGATTTCAGGGTATCCCGTAGCTCGATCTCTAGCGCACTCAGCTCACACACTGAGATCTGGGGTTTGAATCTCCTCCGGTATGGCTAGAAAACATTAGGGACGTGCTTCCATAAGACACCTTATATACCTCCTATACACCTATACCTCAACAACAACCTGAATTTCAGCACCCATATCCAACATATATCAAAAAAAGTATCCAAAACAGTTGGGACCCTCTCCAAGATACGATACTACGTGCCGCAAAATGCCCTTCTCACATTGTACCATTCACTCATTTATCCATACCTCACCTATGCTATTTGTGCTTGGGGATCAACTGCAGCAATACACCTAAAGCCAATAACAACTCAACAAAAAGCTGCAGTAAGAATAATCACTAAATCCCATCCCTGGCAACACCCCCCCCCCACTCTTCTTAGATCTAAACTTAATCCCTGTTCAGAACATCCACACTTACTACTGTGCAATCTACATATATAGGACCTTAAAATCCAATATTAACCTTGACCTAAAATGCTTTCTTGATAGTTGTGACAGGACCCACATGCATAACACCAAACACAAACATCTCTACGACATTCCCCGTGTCCGACTAAACCTTTACAAAAATTCAATGTATGTCAAAGGCTCAAAAATCTGGAACACCCTACCTGAAAACTCTAGAACTGCAGACACATTCATCACCTTCAAAACTACCGTTAGAAAACATCTTATCTCCCTGATACACCCCGTCAACTAGCTACATAAAAACCACCTGGTGGTTCACACTTACACTCACTCACTCACCCATTTGACTATAAGCACAGAAATTTGTATCTTAATCTTAAAATAATGATTCTTAACTAGTCACAAGTTTGCCTGTGATACTCCAATATAGAAACTATGTATTGTGCCAAAACAAAAGCATTCATATTGTTAAACACACAAACTAGTATTTAGTCACTTAGTATTTAGTTAACTTACTCCACAATTTGTAATAATTTAGGGTTAAGAATTAATCTAAGTTTGCCCGAAATGCCTAGCCATGCTAGGTGTTCTAGTGGCCCCCTATGTAATTAGTATTTTATTACATGTAAACCACACAATAACCAAAATCTGTAAACCCCGCATTGTAATCCTTATAGAGAATAAACTTTGATTTGATTTGATTGCTGTCCCTGTTCACTCATCAGTGTCAAATGGGTACCTGGGTGTTAGTCGACTGATGTGGGTCACATCCTGGGATAAAACTGACCTAATTTGCCCGAAATGCTCTGCATAACAAGTGGCTTTCTATATACAGTGGACCCCCGGTTAACGATATTTTTTCACTCCGGAAGTATGTTCAGGTGCCAGTACTGACCGAATTTGTTCCCATAAGGAATATTGTGAAGTAGATTAGTGCATTTCAGACCCCCAAACATACACGTACAAATGCACTTACATAAATACACTTACATAATTGGTCGCATTCGGAGGTAATCGTTATGCGGGGGTCCACTGTAGTAGTATGTCACTGATGTCAGCTAGGCCTGTATACCTTGTACATGTACTTGTAGTAAATAAAGGTATTATTATTATTATTGTTACGTATTATGATTATTATTATTTCTTTGCAAGGTTACAATGTGTATTTACAATTTTGATTTGTTAAGTACAAAGAAAGCCACTATCATGCTGGGGCATTTTGGGCAGACTTTACCTGTCTCTTCATATATAGCTCGACGATCCTTGTCAGATAAAACTGAGTAGACTTTGCCAAGTGTTTGAAATTTGTGTGTAGCATCTTGCTTATCTTCCTGACCCACACGATCGGGATGAACCTTTAGAGATACTCTGTGGTATGCTTTCTTCACTGTAAGACAAAATACTAAATGTCAGAAGAAAAAATAAATGCAGGTATCATATAATAACTGAACTAAATTTAAGATTAACGATTTATAAGGTTGTCACTGAAGGTGGAAGTATTAATATGAGGTAATTTATAGACTGCTCCAACTGTAACTGGGGTTTTAAAATTTTTTGGCTATAAGTTTTGCAAATATATATTCCTGTGTCATCCCTGAAGATTTCTGGCAAAGTGTTCCAGATTTTGGGCTGTTTTATGTACAATGAATTTTTGAGGAGATTCAGCTGGACAGTGGGAATGGTTTAGGGATTTTTGTGCCTAGTATTGTGTTTATGGGTCGTGTTGCAACTATCAAGAAAAGTGCTTCAGGTCGGAATTAATATTAGAATTTATTGTTCTGTAAATGTAGGATGCACAGTAGTAAGAGTGAATGTTTTATATAGTGAATAGGTTCAAGTCTTTGAAGAGTGTTGGGATTGTGTTGTCTAGCAATGCACTGTGATCGTTTGTACTGCAGCTTTTTGTTGGGTTATTATTGGCTTTAGGCGAGTTGCTGTTGTGGATTCCCTTGCACAAATAGCATAGGTGAGGTAGGGGGAGATCAGTGAATAGTACAATGTGAGTAGTGCTATTTGTGGTACAGTACATAATAACCAAATGTTTTGGATACTTTTTTTATGTGTTGGAGTAGTGGATTGCAGTACTTCTCCCAATTTGATCAGACCTACAGTTATGTATGGTTGAGTACCCAGGTAAGGCAATGATGCCAGTTGTGTCATGTTTAAGCCAGGTTTCAGTAAGAATAATAAAATAATCTTGGTAGAATTACCGACAATATGTAAAGTAAAAGGACACAAGTGCAACTTATGTGACATTTTATTGTGGCAATGTTTCGCTCTCCAGGAGCTTTGTCAAGCCGGCTTGACGATGCTCCTGGAGAGCAAAACGTTGCCACAATAAAATGTCACATTAGTTGCACTTGTGTCCTTTTACTTTACAAGAATAATAAAAGACATTTGCATTTAGAGAACTGAGGAGTGCTAAGAGGTCATCATAGTGCTTACTTCATTTTCTAACATTGTAACTAAATACTGATATACAGCCTCTCATCATTTAATGATGGGGTTCCATTCTTAAGACCAAGTTGGTAAATGAATTTGTCGCTGAGCAAGGAGCATAGTACTATAATGGTAGTGAGTTTGTGTCAACCATCTTTGATATTGTTTTAATGTCACCTTGCACCATTTATAAAATTTTTAGTATATTTTTAAATGCTTATACAGTAGTGTACTGTATGTTGTAATAAACAGAATAGAGGAAATTGGCTCTAATATACATTATTTAGGTATGCATATTGGTCAGAGAGCCCATCATAAGCCTGAGTCGTTGGTAAACGAATATGTTGCTAAGTGAGGAGAGGCTGTATTCTTAGAGGCACTGAGAGCCTTTGCTGCTTGACTTGCTGTGAGATAAAGACAGTTAATTTCAGAAGAATATTGTTGATAACTGTATTTAGAAAGGAGATTAAAATCTGAGTCAATATCTGCAATCATCAGCAAGGAAATAGGAAGTGTAAAAAGATAGAAGGTGAAATGTAGATGGAAGAAGGATAAGAGATACAGTGGACCCCCGGTTAACGATATTTTTTCAATCCAGAAGTACGTTCAGGTGCCAGTACTGACCGAATTTGTTCCCATAAGGAATATTGTGAAGTAGATTAGTCCATTTCAGACCCCCAAACATACACGTACAAACGCACTTACATAAATACACTTACATAATTGGTCGCATTCGGAGGTGATCGTTATGCGGGGGTCCACTGTATTAAGTAGGAAATAATGAAAGGCAATTAATTGGTATAACTATTAACAAAATTACTTAAGAGAATATTGACAATGTCAAGAGTAAAAAGTTACCATTAAGTAACTTATAACACTAACATGAAGACTAGGTATCAAATTTAGCACCTGATATTGCAGAAATGGCTAACAGTGAAAGCTGCTAACAATAAACAGTAAGAGGTCTAACCCTTAAACTGTCCAAACATAGATTTACGATTACGTGCGTAGCGCTCCGACCTTGATTTTCCCCATTTGAAAGCATGTAACAAAAAAAAAAAAAAAAAAAAGTAGATCTATGTTCGGGGTGCTATGCGAGCGAACATAGATCTACATTTGGACAGTTTAGGGGTTAAAAATATATTGTATATAGTATTACACTAAAAATACGGTAGTGAGCACTGGATAGTCCATAAATTTTTGGGTTAACCCTTTCAGGGTTTCGGCCGTACTAGTACGGCTTACGCACCAGGGTTTTTGACGTACTAGTACACCTAAATTCTAGCACCCTCAAATCTAGTGAAAGCTGGTAGGCCTACATATGAAAGAATGGGTCTATGTGGTCAGTGTGCGCGGTATAAAAAAAATCCTGCAGCACACAGTGCGTAACGAGAAAAAAAAACTTTGACCATGTTTTTGGATAAAAACAGCGAATTTGCACTGTATTTTCATATGGTATTTATTGTTGTATTCTAGTTTTCCTGGTCTCATTTTATAGAATGGAAGACATATTACAGAAATTGAGATGATTTTGACTGGTTTTACAAAGAAAAGTACCTTGAAATTGAGCTCAAAGTAGCAGAAATGTTCGATTTTCACCAAAGTTCAAAAGTAAACAAATCATGGTATGCGTCCAATACACGTCAACTGGTGAGTCTAATATTCTTTCACAAATGTGCTCATATTATTTATACCATTTCTACACTAATGCAGTAGTCTGCATAACAGTAAATCTTTTATTTTTTTGTGAGAATAAAAATTCAAAGTGGAAAGCAAAAGAATGTAAGAGGGGCATGGGGACGTGACTAATGAACAGAGGAAATGTTATTTTAGTGCCAGGAATGTCTTTCTTGTTTATTCTGGACCCTATTCGGAAATTGGCGTCTTTTGAAATTTGTGTGAAATTGGCAAAATTGCTAAATTCTGACCACTGTATTGGATAGTTGAAATCGGTAAATGGGTGGTTTCTTGTACTCATTCGATAGAAAAAATGGAGTTCTAGTGAAATAGTTATGATTTTTGTCGACAAGTACACTGGAATTAGCCGAAAATAGGGCTCAAAGTGGGCAAAATCGCTGATGCGTAAACATTGTTGAGACTGCTAACTTCGCAAGAGCATAATTCCATAAGTTTTCCATCAAATTTCATACTTTTGGCGTCATTATGATCGGGCAAAGATTCTCTATCTTTTCATAAAATAATTTTTTTTTTTGAAATTTGGCTGACCCTGAGAACAAGTCTCTGAGAGGGCCTGTCGACCCTGAAAGGGTTAAAGAATATAATACACAGTTTAAGACCTAGATTAAAATGGTTAATGAATCAGTTATTAATGTTATTTAACCCTTTCAGAGTCCCCAGACCCTCTCCCAGACTTGTTCTCAGGGTTGCCCAAATAAAAAAAAAAAAAAAAAAAAAAAACTTATGAAAAGATAATCTTTTTGCCGATCATAATGACACCAAAAGTATGAAATTTGATGGAAAACTTACGGAATTATGCTCTCGCGAAATTAGCGGTCTCGACGATGTTTACGCATCGGCGATTTTGCCCACTTTGAGCCCTATTTTCCGCCAATTTCAGTGTACAAGTCGACAAAAATCATAACCATTTCGCTAGATCTCCATTTTGTCTATCGAATGAATACAAGAAACCACCCATTTACCGATTTCAACTATCCAATACAGTGGTCAGAATTTAGCAATTTTGCCAATTTCACACAAATTTCAAAAGATGCCAATTTCCAAATAGGGTCCAGAATAAACAAGAAAGACATTCCTGGCACTAAAATAACATTTCCTCTGTTCATTAGTCACGTCCCCATGCCCCTCTTACATTCTTTTGCTTTCCACTTTGAATTTTTATTCTCACAAAAAATAGATTTACTGTTATGCAGACTACTGCATTAGTGTAGAAATGGTATAAATAATATCAGCGCACTTGTGAAAGAATATTAGATTCACCAGTTGATGTGTATTGGATGCTTAGCATGATTTGTTTACTTTTGAACTTTGGTAAAAATCGAACATTTCTACTACTTTGAGCTCAATTTCAAGGTACTTTTCATTGTAAAACCAGTCAAACTCATCTCAATTTCTGTAATATGTCTTCCATTCTATAAAATGAGACCAGGAAAACTAGAATAGAACAATAAATACCATACGAAAATACAGTGCAAAGCCGCTGTTTTAATCCAAAAAACGTTAAAAGTTTATTTTTTTCTCATTACGCACTGTGCTGCAGGATTTTTTTTTTATACTGCACACACTGACCACATAGACCCATTCTTTCATATGTAGGCCTACCAGCTTTCTCTCACTAGATTTGAGGGCGCTAGAATTTAGGCTTACTAGTACTTCAAAAACCCTGGTGCGTAAGCCGTACTAGTACGTCCGAAACCCTGAAAGGGTTAAGCTTGGATGTTTACAGTATTACCTGATATTGCACAACTGCTAACAATACAAACAGCTGACAATAAACAACAGTAAGGGTATCAGAACAATGCAAAGAGTACATATTTAAACAATACAAATGAATACAGTACTATAATAACAATTTGTACAAAACATTTATTTGTTTATGAGGTAGGATTTGATTTGGTTTTGAGTCAGGAGATATGAAAAGATTACAAACAGTTACAGATTGAGGGAGCATAACACAGGAAGTGGAATAGTCTGGGAAGTGATGTAGTGGAGGCAGGATCCATACATAGCTTTAAGAAGAGGTATGATAAAGCTCATGGAGCAGGAACTGTGAATCGACCCTGCAACCACAACTAGGTTAGTACAATGTGGAGTTTAGTGGGTACAAACTGCATCTTTTTCTGACACAGATAGGTCAGCATCACATAAGAATTTTGATTGATTTTGTTCATTAGCTATGTAGTATCTCTTGCCTGTAGTGGATTTCCTTACAATTTTACTGTCTCTCACAAAGCACTGGTGGATTTTTCT